CAACAACAACAAAAAGCACTCATTAAAATTAAAAACAACAAGCAAGATGAGCTCACCATCACTTTCTGACTACAGGAGAAAGATATCTGTGTTTTTTTATTATTACTACGGCGATAAAACCGACAAGGTCACTGTTGAATGTCAAATACACTGTGTGCTCCTATAGGAACTGAAATTACAGAAGCACGTGAGATTACAGAAACATTACAGGGCTGTTTTAAATGACACATTGAGAATAAATCACATTTAAGATCACTGCAGGGCATCTCGGACACAATGTAAAGCCCAGTTTTGGTGGAAGAACGTAAATAAAGTAAGATAAAGTCATTACACATACTGCAGGGATGTTATAAGACACTATAGGTTTAAATAATCATTAAACATTCACTGTAAATGAGTCCCAGAGGTTCATTTCAAGTCCATATGAAGATATTACAGATACATTTTAGTGATTATTAATGCTTATTCTGTATACTTCCATTGAGAACAACGTAAAACCAGAGTCTACGAGCAAATACCTGGCCAATAAAAGAGATTCAGATTCAGATTAAGTGAAATAAAATAACTACAGATTAACACAGACGCATAATGGGGATGTAAAATGTGAAACGGACTCACAGAGACACAAATAGATTGTTATATTATAGTCATACAGGAGGGGAAACATGGATAACCCTCGAGGCAGTCATTAGCAGCTATAGGAGTACTTATAATAGGAATATTATACTAATACGTTGAGATAAAGTCTCTGTTTTAAAGGATTATTACAGGATACAATACACAGGAGGAAGATTAAGTAAGAATAAAACTGCATTGAGTATTATAAACAAAGAATCAGCCCCTAAAGGACCATTACTGGAATATAAAACAGCTATTTATTCATAAGTATGAGTTAAATAAAGAAGAACAACAACATAAAGTCAGATAAAACAATTATTAAGCTCCACAGAAACAAACCCACTCCCTAAAAAGGCCATAATACGGGCCCCTATTAATATTATAGACTCATTCAACGATCATTATACTGGATACAATACAAGGAAGAACATAATAAAGTGAAAACACAACACTAAGGAGTATTATAGACAGCATTAGCCTCTATTTATAGGGTTGTTTTACAGGTATTTAAAGGAATGTGAGACGGACAAAGGAGAATTAACACAATAAAAGTCAGATAAAATCATTACCAAGCTCCACATACACAATATTAGCCACTATATATTACACTATACTCATATAAAAGTAACTTAAAGTAAAACTTTATCATGTTTATGTTGTTACAAACGACTGCGGGCCACTGCAGAAGTACTCAAAATGTATTAAAGGATGATTACACGTGATAACACAGGACGAAGAACACAATAAAGAAATATTAGGACAATATTAAAACCTAATTAGACACTATAAGAATATGAAAACATATTTAAAGTCATCATCAAGAGCTAAAATATCAGCCAGAAGTATATTAGAGATATTCTTAAGTAATATAACCATAAAGTCAGACAGGATTTCAAGGACAAATAAGGAGAATAGAGTTAAATAAGTTATACATTACGCTCCAACAGACACACCACGATGGATATATTTAAGGAATATTATAGTAAAACAAGAGGACTAACTAATCTCCACTGTTTCCTGTGAGCCCCTATGGAAACACTACAAACACTGGCCACTATAGGAATATATCGTAAGGAATATTATGGTAAAAATATAGAAAAGGTGGAACCATAAAGTCAGATAAAGCCCTCCGCTGACATTGGTGTGACATTATCGATCTTTTCAACGTGAGAAAAACTATAATAAAGGTAGAATAAGAGAGACAAAGGGATCCTAAACAGCACAAAGACGTAGTAGTAGTATAAATAAAGTCCTGGAAAGTCACTATTGAGCCACTATACTTACATTATTGTTATATATTTAAGGAATATTAAAGTATTACTTCAGGAAAAAGTATGCCATGTCAGAAAAGTTCCCATACGACACTTTGAAATTTGCTTGTTTTGTCCGTCCAAAAGTCCAAAACACAACAATATTCAATTTCCTATCATAGCGGACTGAGATAACGAATAAAACAAAACAAACATCTACATTTGAGAAGTTAAAACCGGAGCATTTGTGCCAGTTTTGCTTAAAACTTGTCAGACTTGTTGCTGAACCTGAACTCTGTGAATTCCTGTAACCTCCTTGTTTTTTAAAACTGAGCTATTTTTTGTTTTTGTCTGTTTGTTTATGAGATTGTTGCTCACGGTTGTGTTATTACTGCGGAAAAATAAGAAAGTCCAATGAATATACTGTTGCTGCTTTATTTTCTGTCCGTCGACTGGTCGATTACTAGTTTGGGTTCTAGTTATTTGAATGTATATGAGAAGAAACAAGGAAAAGTGATATAACAAAGTAAGATACAGTTACTGTTTAACTCCTATCTGTCAAACTGGAACCATAAAGGTTGTCGCCAATGTATTTTCTAACAACTAATCAACTAAAAGTGTGAACTCTAGCTGTTTGTAGGTATAAGAGTATGACAAACGAGTGAAAATATAAAGATAAATTCACTATTTAGCTCACATTTAACAAGCTGGAAGCGGGTTATTGTGGCTTAAAAGTTTTATTTTCTGTCCAATAACTCATCTATAACCCCTTGAGCACAGTTAAACACCATATTAAAAAAATAAAAGCAGCGAAAAAAGGGGAACAAAGTAAGATCAATTCACTATCTAGCAACCAAATACAACTTTAGCCCTAAGAACGAATATTAAAACACACATTTAACCTAATTACAGTGAAGCCCATATGATAAGCACTACCATTAAGCGAGTATAGTGCGATCACAACATACTATTACGTACTATAGGAGTGTTATATGAACATCTCAAAGGGCTCCACAGCTTTTTTCTTTTATTTTTTTGGCCCTGGGGGAGGGCCAGCTGAAGCAGTGCTCCAGCCTAGTGGTGGAAACAGGCAGGAAAATAAAAAGCCACATAATATAATCTGAGCACTGAGAGGCAGTCCACTGTCTAAAATGTGAATACACACACACACACAAGAATTTAAGATGGAAACCCTTAATCTGCACCCAGCCTACGTCAGTTCTCGTGATATTTCTGGGAATAATGCAGTGAGATATTTTTTTTTTTTTACACAGTTTTTCAGCACGGGAAGGAAGAGAAGAGAAGGGAAGAAAACCAACGACGAAAATTAATAATAAAATGTCTCCTGCTTTAGACAATAAATAAATAAATAAAAATCCAAACAGTCTACACAGTATTGACCTTGGGTATATCCTGTTATTGAAAGAAGAAAAAAAAAGCTCACAAGTTCACCACTGGAGAGAAAGAAAGAAAAGCTTTTCAATGCTGCAATAAATTAATATTTAAAACAGGAGATGTTATTAAAAATACACAACCACCACTGGAATATTAAATACATCCCGAGCTCACACATGAAGGAGATGTCAAAATAAATCACTTTGCTCGCTTTTATTTCGACTAAACATTGCACATTGCCCTAGCTGTGTGTCCTCTGGATGTTTCCTGTTTTTTTTTTTTTTTTTTACAAACAGGATTTAATCCTTCGTTATATCAAGTACAAAAAAAATAAAACTCCACGTTTCCTCTCTTCCTCTCTCACACACACA